CTTTTTAATATTCTGTTGTTCAACTACTCCATCTAATTTAGAATTTTATAATTAAAAAAGGTCATAGAAAATAAATTTTTTCTAATCATCCCAATTTTATTTAGATAATAATATATATATAAATATAATAATATAAATAAAATAATTTAAAATTAATATTTGAATAATGCACTAATATGAATGATAATAAATCAATGATTTTGAATCTTCACCTTTTCTAGTTTCAGTTAAATCAAAGCTTATCTTAAGTCAGACGACATTTCATTTATTTATTCCAATAAATCTTTAAAATCCTTTTCCAATAATTCTTTTAATGAATCATTTTCCAAGTATTTTGAAACTTCAACAATATTTTCTTCATAAAACTTCTTAATTTGATTTGAAACTCTGACTTTAAACATGCTCTAATTTAACTTACCGCTAAGATAAAGGTTATCCATTCTCCTGACTCTACTCAATGCTGTGTAAAGTAATCCTGACTATTATCTCTCTGGCATATCCAAATCCATTATCACATTTTCAAAGGTTGAACCTTATGAACAATGTATGGTTCTAGCATATCCTAGATTAATGGGGATCTAGGATATCTGTACTTGACATGTATTGGGCAATTTCTGAATTATGAATTTTATCTAGATGATGCTCCTTTCCAAATATTCCATGCCAAAATGACCATTTACATAGTCAATTCCAAACAATTCCATATATTCTGAATCCAATAAATATTTTCTGATTTTTTGTCCTGCTTATGCATAAGTTGGATTCCTCTATAAAGTTTTAGAGACAAAATCATAAGTTGTCAATAAGGCTTCTTCAACATCTGACAATGCTCTTATCATTTATCCCTTTTGCAAGTTAACTGAATGTTAAAATGCTTTATCTCCAATCTCCAAACTTGCTGTTCCAGTTTCTCCAATCTTCAAAATTATCTTCTATAATCTGGGGTCCACATCCTTCAAGTAAAGTAATCCTTTTTCACTATGATGGACATCTCTTTCATCTAAGAAATTGATGTTCATCAATTATTTTTTTTCCAAATATAAATCCATTTCTTTTTTGTCTTCATCCGTAAATCTAATTATACTCTTGTTTTTGATCTCCTACATCATGTTAAAGTAATTCCTCTCCTTTATAAATTCTGCTTAGTCCTTTTCCAATTATCTCATACTGTAAGAATTCAAGTAATCTACATCAAATTCTAAACTTTTTATTGTAGCAAATTATCCATTTATTAGGTTTGCTTGTTTTTCTAAATTTTTTCTGATAATTATC